CCAAGAAGTTTACAGAAAGAATTTCCAAAACCCCAAAACCCCAAAACCCCAAAACCCCAAAACCCCACTTTCCTCATATCAAATTGAACTTATTACCTTACCAATTCACAACTTCTAATTTGAATATTTTCTTCCTCTCATCCCCTACCCCCACTCCACCCTCCAAAATCCCCTTCCTCTCCCACACATCCCACCTAAACCCCCTAAATTTTCCAATCTCCAAAATTTCTTCACAAAAATCCCCTTCACAACTTTTCACTTTCTTCAGATTCTGACTACTATAATTGAGAACGAACAAATTTTGGAATAGGCTGAAGCCTAGAGGGGGGAATTAAGGCAGAGAGGGGTTTTAAGGGGGTTTTGGGGGGATAGGGGAGTAGAGGGGGATTTTTAGAGGGTCTGAGGGTGAGATAGGAGGAATTTATTGGTTATTTTTGGGGGTTTTGGGGGGCTGGAGGGATGTGTTTGAGGTATAAGGGGTTGTGTGTGTGTTTGGGGTTAGGAAGGGGTGGTTTTATGTATAGGAGAATTGTTATAATCTGTGAGTAGATCCAGGTATTTTTAATATTAAAATTTTAGAAGGAAATGTGGCTTGCCAAAGTATAAATCGTCGCGAAAATATGGTATAATACACCATAAAAAGCAAATTTCTGAAAGCATTCTTTTACTAAACCTATTTCCTCTCTATCACTCAAATCCACCTTCTTAACTTCTAAAGTTCAACCCATAAAAGCTGCTTCTCATACCCCCAAAATGATCTAAAATTCACATCAAAAATTCTTTCCGATGTAAAATTCGAGTCGCCATAAACCCAAAACAAAATCTGCTGAAACCCTCAAAATTCCCTTTTGACCAAGATTGCTTGAAAATGTTATTGAAATAACACTACTAGAAGGTTTTGAAAGCAAAGATTTGGCCTCTGAGGTACTCTCTAAGATCTAGACGATCTTAGAGTCTCGTACTCGATGTAATCTTCACTCTCGGCTCCTCTTCTAACATGAGTGTAAGAGTCATGGCTCTCCTCCTGTATCTGGACCCCTTGCTCTTGCATAGGGCCAAGGTTATCCAGCTTGACGATGTTCACAACGCTGATTAGATCTCTAGAAGGGATAAGAAGTAATTACTCTTTGATTAGTTTTTCTAAGTTATCTTCAGATAGAAGCTTTTGCATCACAATATAAATTAAGGTTCAACAATGATTTTCAGCTACGGGGTTTTGGGGTTTTGGGGTTTTGGGGTTTTGGGG